GGTACGTCATCTACGACAATAATTGGCACTTTATCAATTCTGCTTGTTTTGGGGCTGGAGTTTGGTTTTCTATTTGCGGGAATGGTGTCACTTTTGTTTGGTTGGTCTTTTGGGGTGGTAGTGAGCTGAGTGGCTGATTCATCTTCGTTGTCCAAATGCATGTCGTCTATTTGGTTCTCTAATTGTTTATATCGATTGCTGGTTTTGAGGGAAGGCTCCTCATCGGAGTCAGAATCCGTTTGTCTATGGCGCAAATTTCTTCTTCTTTGTTCTTTGAAACCACTAGCAAATGGGCAAGAAAGCAAGTCGCAGAAGTTTTTAATCTCTTCAAATTGTTTAGCGAGGTTTTCATTAGAGGTTTGTAATTCGTTTATTTTTGCATTGGCCATCTCGTTTTCCTGCATACGCTGTTGATTAATTGCTTTTACAAGGAGAAAGTTTAGTTATTTTTGATCACTAGCGGACATAATCACATTTGGGTCGTTACGGATACCTTGGATATCTTCCACCAAGGATCTGGTAGTTTCGACGTCATTGGATAAAGTAATTTTGTGACTTAATATTTGGAGAACGTTGGGTTCATCATTGAGATGTCTCATGTGAGGATTTTCTGAGTTTGGAGGTGAAATTTCCATGTTTGTATTATTATTAGTTACATTTATGTTTGTTGTGTCATATTGATTAATCATGTGAGGCAAATAGGTTGGAAAAAAGGCATAACTAGAGGCCGTACCCGAAGGTACCCTTATCAGCACGGTGAATAAAGAGAATAAGAAGAAAGAATAAAATACGATCTGTTTTATCCAGCGAAGGATGCAGCAGTGGAGTTAAGGCGACGGTTCTGCGAGGCGAAAGCCAAAGAAAAAAATCTGATGTGTACACCACATGACTTCCTTGTACGGAATATTAAATTATACGCATTTTTTCTTGCATTTTATTTAAACTTATTGGATTGAATTAAATCTACTTCGCCGACAGCGCATAAACCACAATAGAATAAATGCATTCTTTAAAATTCACTCTAGTATTTGTTTACCATAGCGAAACTCTGGCGCTAGATTCACTTAACAGTATTATATTTCGTTCATATTATAACTCATAATGCACAAAATTTATATCATTTAAAGAATAGAATTATTTTAATCGTTGCCACATGGTCTATTCAAATACTATCAATATAATAAAGCTAGAATGATGTATAATGAAATTAAGCAAAAACAAAACAAAAAAGAAACAGTTTTTCACAGACAATTGAGTATTTCTCATTCAATTAATTCAGTTCTCACTTCACGAGAAGGCAAAAATACGTAAAAACTCAAAATATCCATATTAAAATTACGAAGTAAATCTTAAACACTTATTTCCTCGAAAAAATTCCAGAAAGGATTAAGCATGATTTAATTGGCAATAATAAATGAAGGCGTTATCTTTGTTGGTGCGAAGCTAAATTTCTGTAGACTGGCAACAAATCCACTAGTCTGCTGTTTCAAATGTAAACAATCAATGACCGCCATAAAAAAAGGCTTAGCTACACTTAAACAACTTTAAAATTGTTGATAATTCTAAAAATATTGCATACAGATTTACTAAAGGCATAAAAACCTTAACCGGAAGATAAAAACAACATAATTCAATCATTTTCAAAGCAAAAAATGTACGATTTACAAACATATACGAGTAAAGAAACTGAGATCACTGAGCCGGGTAACAGAGTGGATATATACATAAATATATTTATATACGTTTGGTGCGGCCGATAGCAAACAAAATACGAGGTGCACATCTACATGTTATAGCAGTCCTACATACAAAATTTCAACGTTCTGAGGCTACACGTTTTTGAGTTATGCTAGATACGTACGTACGTACGTACGCACGCGCGTACATACGTTCGTACAGACGCAACGAAAAATTCTCTTCAGAATTAATTTTAAAGTAGTCTTATAATTTTTTTGGAGGAAACGAGTCTTTTATTCTGTCCTTACTTACAGATATCATGCAAAAACATCGTTAAATTGCATTCGATAGCGGTCAAAATGGATATTTTCGTTGAAATATGCTGCCTGAAACTTTTCGCGATTACAATACTTCCTTTTTACTTCGTACAAGGAAGTAAAAAACAACCCAGAGCCCGTGAGGCGAGGTCGATGAACTCGGAGCAGTAGCGGGATGGCAGCAACGCAAGGAAACGGAGAGCGAAGAGATAAGACGTCTATCTCGAATGCTGGCCCACCTCGGAATGTATTTTACACGATATAATATGTAAATATGATGATTTTAGGTACATTTCAAAATTTAAGCTTCCAATTTCAAGATAGAAAGTAAGGTGATTTTAGGCAAATTTCAAGATTTGGAAAAAAAGAGTACATAATTCTGGTAAATGGGCAAGAAAGCAACCTTAGTCAAGGCCTCGCCTTAGTTTGGTGCAGACTTCGAGTAAAACACTATTGATTTCAAGGCCGTCAGACGCAGGTCTCTTGTCGCCCAGACGGTAAAGTGGTTAGGGAAGCCGCGGGCGATACCGAAGGGCCCGGGTTCGAATCCCGGAGAAGGCATGGATGTAAATTTCTTCCTCTGTTCCCTCATAAGAAGGCCATACTACGAAAGTAGCTATTATGTGCCAATATAATAAAATGATGAACACTTCTGGTCTTAGTAGTGGCGAAAGCCTAAAAGCAGCTAGTGCCATCCCTTTTTTTAGAAATGTGCAGGTGCTTTTCCTTCAAAAGCAATTTTTTTTCCAATTTGAATTAATACCTATTTATTTCAATTTATTAATTCCACACGTGCACATTTACTTGAAATTTTAATATATCCAACAAAATATTTACAGTATTTAATATTATATTTAGACTGGAGAAAATTGTGTAAAATATCATTAATAATTTTCGCACATCCACAAAATATCACTAATTAAATCCCTGTTCAAGCTAATCGTTTATGAAACATTTGCAGCTCGCTGCTGCACTGGGCGCTTATATTTATTGAAACACTCCGTACAGCAGTGAGGTACAAATTATTCCATCTTCTTTTAATACTCATTGGTTAATTGTAAAGTAGACAAGGCTTCGGTAACCGCATTCTGTAAAACCTCAGTCATATTATACTTCGGCTACGCGGGAATTAACGTCGAAAGTATAATTCTCAGAATCCGCACAATTCCAGGAAATCCACGTAGCTAGGTTACTATTTTCACTTACCATAAAGACTTGAAAGTTAAACACTAATCGATTATCGCTCAGATAGGGAACACTTGATGCTTCAGAAGCAGAACTTTGTCTGATTGGTTGTCTCTACCCGCGACGCATATTTCACTAGTGTACATCTGTGTAGCCACCGAGGGAGTGATTTCTAGGATGGACAATTGGACATCCAGTAATATTTCTGTCATCTCACATTATCTTTCGCGTGCTTTAAGATTTAAGCAAGATGGTTGAAATATTCTGCCACGCAATTTTCTGTACAAACTAATTAAAGCATCATCGATTTCTTCTGAAACTTTTCATTGTAAAATTGGATCAAATATAAGCAATTGTGAAGATTTCACTGCCTGGTTGAAGGAATTTGAAATAAATACAAACAAATGCTGGATACTCCGCAAAAATAGCCATGTGAAATATTACTTAATAAGTGGTAAATAAGATGAAGAAAGAAATATGTGATAACACCTGAGCCCAAATGATATCTTTACATAAAACTATGCATATGAGAAAAATAGTTATACCAATTATATATGTAAATAGAAGTCAGTAATTTTTATTGCAGTTTATATGAAAAATATGTTATAATAACCAATGCAGAATTTTGTTCAAAGTGAACTTTACTAATTTGGATGCGTATATATTTAGTGTGTTAAATTTCACATTTAATAACTGCTCACTCTTACATGTACTGTCTACTCAAGAAGTACTCATCAAACTGAACGAATTTATCTTATTCACAACGAATATATTCAGTTTACTCTCACGTATTAACTTTTAATGTTAACAATGGATTTAATCAGATCATACGCAATATTACTCTGAACCTTACACTTTAAAAAGCAAAAGAATCCAAGCACTGAGATAAGAAACACTAGATTCATTGTAACACTTCCAGTCCTTCTCAGCAGAATTAAAAAAATTGTACACTTAAATTCTGTTAATCCACATGTGTTAGTAAATGCACAATATTCGAGGCTAATTGTAGCTTGAGCCATTTTCTCAATGTAAAGAGCGATAATGTGCCGTGAACATCAATCCAAATATTAATGCGTGAGAAAAATCGCGAAAGTGAAATGTCAGCGATTAATTAAACTCATAAAACGAAAGCACTACGAGATTTTCTACCATTACGCCATACATTTATAACTGTGAAACAAATACAATTTAAAACGTAAACAACATACGCTCGCTGGCTTGAAGATTTAGCATCACAAGAACAATAGAAGCTCATTGGTCCAATTTCGAAACCCCTCCCTCAGTGGCTACGCTGATGTGCACTTGTGAAATATGCACCCGGGACAGAGGTCCAGCAGAGAAATTTTCAGTGAGGTTTGAAAAACATTCCGCGTAGCCGCAACATCGTTTCCGTAGCTAGACGATACTTCGTTTCAGGCGGGGCTCTTTTTTTCTAGGAATCGACCCGTTTAAACCAGTGCTACCAAAATCTCGTTTCTCAGAAAAGTCTCGTTTAGCCAGCACTGTAGCCAAGTGTGATAACCTCTTAAAACTCTATTATACATCAGCGTAATTCTAGCTACTCTCATGATTTGCCACTCTCATGACATGACATAAATATTTTTGAAAAAAAAAAAAAAAAATATTTGAAAGATTAAGCTTCCTCCATCTACTAGTATTACTGTATTTTTATAATAAAAGAATCATTTAAGTTTTATAGCTGAATATAGTCTTGGTCCTCTTGGTCAGTAACTATTTATTACTTTATTGGTATCAACAAGGAAACAGCAAAATAATGCTGATTTTGAAATGATGTGAAGTCAATGTTTTGTTTATATGTGTTTTGTCATTTCCGAGTTTATGTAATGTGAAAGTCGGTGATACTTCCGATTAAAAATACCCTTTTCCTAGCAAACTGTACTTTCATTGAAAACTATGTTTTTTAATGTGATATGCTTAATATATATTTAAATAAATTAACTGTAGCTCTATTAAATCAGACCTAGGCAATCTGCATTATTTTTTGTAAAATATGATTATGACTATAGCATCAACACCGGTTTTTTTAAATTTCACTGGAAAGGTAAATTAATTTCGTTTTTCCATATACGTCACACTTTTTTTAATATAGATTTTTTCCAGAGTTTCATTTTAATTTTTGTATACTTTAAAAAAATTCCATTTGTATCATTTACTACATTATTTAGGTTTTGACAAGAGGAATAGCATCCCATGTTTCTTCGAAGATTTTCCCGAGTCCTGTAACATGGGGAATCAGACATAAACAGGCATTTTTAAAAGTACATAAGGTATGTGAATTGTAGAATTATAAGAAGGTTTATGGTGCCTTCCAAGATTATCACTCACTTGGAAAGTCTGTGAAAATTAAAAATTTTTTCATAATTGGAATTTTTTTGCAAAAAGTCAGGAAGTTAAAAAAATTTTTTTAATATGTGTACAAATCTCGGAAATATCTAGGTTGATTAGCGATTCAATCTTGGGGGCTGCAATAATAAAGAAGTATCAAAATTTATTATATATATATATATGACATATAAACAAAAAACTTGCTTTTAGAAAGAAAGGGTACTTATGCATTGTTGCATCAACTGTTGGCAAAAATTTTGGCAATGGTATCCAATCTCCAATCATTATTGTAAAATTTGAAAGCGATAGTCATTCATAATTATCACTAAATTGCATTACTTGTCTGGTTGACGGGATAATACATAAGTAGCTTCTTTTCTGTACCCTACTAATGATGTGCATATACTTCTCTTTAAACATGTAGCTTTAAATACATTTATGAATGATATACGTTTCTTTTGCACAATTTGTTATTTCATTTTAAAGAAACCTACGTACATTTTAAAACCTTTGAGATGTGTGCTTCCTTTTACATATTTCTTTTATATTGCAATCTGGCTATGTTCTTCAAATGATATAATGGGCAGCTTTAAAAAAATTAAAGGTTTTGGGGAAAGGATGGTTGTGAATCTGAAATTTAAAGGAACTGATATGCTGAATGCTTACTAAAATTTATTTTCTTCATGTGCTTGAATATTAACGAATGACATTGTTAAAACACAACTCATATGAATTATGTAAAGTTTTGAAAACAGAATCATTATTTAAAGTTAAGTTCGAATAACCAATAATGTAATTTTTTTCAGGTTTAATTAAAAAAAAATATATTTTTTTCTATAGCAGGCGAATGTCAAATGCATGTTGTAAAAGTAAGGTAACTATAAAAGTAAGCTAAGTAAGGACTCAGAGCTGCAAGAGAAGCAAGAAAAGTTGGCTGATCTTTAGAATATGGTAACTGGTAGTTTGGCGACATTTTGAAGGCGATAAAGGTTACTACCTGGGATTTTGGTAATAATGTGAGCAGTACTCAGTTCCGATTATGCATTATTTTGTGTGAGGGAAATAAGAGATCATGGGATATGTCATGTGATATTAATGGACGAATTATGGTTCTTTAATCGGAAAAGGGGGGAAATCGGGAAAAAATCTGGAAATTTTGTATTTGGCTTTATTCTGTGTTGTGTGAAACAGTGTTCGTTAATTTTTGGATCCCATGGCCCTAACTAAAGTGAATTCGAAATGGGTATTTAGTGGGATTGAAAGGGGTAGTAATAAGTGTTTCTTTAAGGTTGTGCGAGATAGAAGTAAAGATGTTTTATTAAGTTATTTATTTTACCTGGTACCTTGCTGTGAACTATAAGTATGATTTTAAAGATCCTGAAACAGAAATAAGAAAAGTTTATCGGACACGTAATCAAGATTCTGAAGAAGATTAGGTAAGTTAGTATTTTTAATTATTTGAGGATATTATTTTTATGCATTGTTCTAAATGTAAGGTGGAAGTAAAGTAATTTAGTATTATTGGGAAAATTGTTATTAGCAATGATTTAGTTTAAAGTAATTAGGATTGTAAGCTAATTTTTATTAATTTAATGTATGTGCTTATTTATATTTTAAGTAGTGTTTTTGAATTTAATTATATTTTAATTAAATGATAGTTATTTTGTGAATTTTATGTTTGTAGGAATTTGGTATATGTTTTAATTGAAGTAAACATGCATGGAAATAATTTAAATATTTGACACAACAAGTATTTGTAATGCTTGCGGTATGAATTCGTTGGTGACGTTTATAATATAATAGATGATTTAGAGGTAAAAGTTTTTGGATATTTTATTTATTTTATATGTGGAAATGTTCATATTTGGAAAGGGTATATACTTTTTCGTGATCAGGTAATTTCATAAATGTTCTTTTTACCGGGTTTAAAGATTCAGAAAATTGTCATGTATTTTCGTGAAATTTTTCTAATTTATGAGAAAAAAGCAGTGTATATGGATATAGTGAAGAGTGTGCGCAGTGCCATTTTTGTGTAATTCTGGGATGTTTTTTTAAGTAAAAATAAGTCGACGTGTACATGGTTTATGTGTATGTGTTATTTTGAAAAACGCGTAAGGAGTATGGTATTGTGCACTTTTTCCCAATTTTGCAGTGAATGTTTGTCATGATTAAGCAGTTTTGTTAGGTAAAATTTCTAGCATAAGTGTAATTTGGCTAGTAGATTGTTGAAAAGTGTTCAGTAGATAAAAAGAAAAGAAACATGTCTTTACTTCATGAAGACAAAATGGCGGCGGGAAAAAAAAAATAGAGGGTTGCTGTAGGAGAGTTCGTCGCCAAATTTTCGCCAAAAAATCGCCAAGTTACCATAATGTAAAGATCGACCGAAAAATTCTGGATTAAAATTCACATGTAAGTAACATCTTAATACAATATTCTTGCATCAGAGTAAAGTGATAGAACAAGTGAAGGAAATAGGATTGCAGAATTTGGTGATATAAATCTTTTTAGCTAAGGCTAACAGAATAACTTCCAAACAAGATATAGAAGAAAGTGAATCTAATTCTACAGTACCAGTTTATTAATCATAAAATTAGTGCAAAAGACTATTATCTTTATTAATGACAGATGTTATATTTTTTGTAAGAATAACTAACTGGGAATAAAAGATCAAGACAAAATTGCATACATTTTGTAAATTATAATCAGGAACGAGAGTTGTAATATAGAAGAAAGTGAAGCTGATTCTACACTGCCAGTTTATGAATCATAAAATCAGAGCAAGAAACTGTTATTTTTATTAATGATAAGTGTCATATTTTATGTAAGATTAACTGACTGAGAATAAAAAATCAAGATGTTTTGCATGTGTTTTATAAATTATAATTAAGAAAGAGAGAAACATAAAATTTCATATATGTATAAAAGTAGACTTCAGTAGAATCTTTAAGGTAATGCAATATCCTGTGTTTTTACAAAATAGGCAAACAGTTTTGCTGAATAGACAATGTCATAAGATGTAGTGACTTTTGTTTGCTCATAAGTTGTAGGCTTTAATATGACCATAATGAAGCTTTAATTAAAAATAAATAAACAGTTTTGTTATAACAATTGATACTACCTGTTACAACTCAAACATCTTAACACTAATTATTGGAATATCAGTTTTCTATTATATTCCCATATATTAAAAAAAATATGGTATGCAAGGAATTTGTATTTTATATGTAGATGGGATATAATGATCTTAGTCTGTGGCATGCCATTCTCTTTACCAAAGGGAAGCACATATGAAGAAAAATACTTATGAATCATTGCAGCCACCTTGGTAGAAATCGCCATACTTTCAGAATATCCCAAACTCTGGTAACTAGGTGCATAGTAATTATTCAGCCAACCATATGCATGACTAATATTCAGTTTCCAATGTCACCATTTTTGTATGCATTCTTTTTGTTGCTGTTGTTCTAATGGCTTTTATAGAAAAATTGACTTTGTTTGTCTTAAACTTTTTAAAATTTATGCTTAGGGAATTTTGCTATATTTCCTTAATAAGTAAAGGATTTTTTGATCTGATGGATGCTATAAAAATAAGTCATTAATTAAAATATTTTATCTCAAAGAGAGAACAAGACCAGCAAAACAGATTACTTTTTATCTTGCATATCGTTAATTAGACTAGAAGAGAAACACGCTAATGTGACAATCAAAATCGTAAAAAACAACCTTGTATTTAGCGTTAGTATATAGAAACACTTAATCGATTTCGAGGGCAGCTAAAGGTCCCTCCTCATCAGGAGAAAGAAATATCTAGAAAGAAGAAAATAAATGGGGGAGGAATCTCAGAAACACGTGGTCCTTATCAGCACTGCACGTGGTTATAACCGGATTTTTGATCAGAGTTACACTGGCCGCCTACTTTTACTGAGCCAGGCTATCTGATCAAACATAAAGGACAAGAAAAATTAGCGAAGTTAAAAATAGGGAGTGAGGGGAAAATACACCTTCATGCTTAAAATCTGAACTTCAAATATTCGAATCTGAATTCGTTTCTGAGACTCCTTCCCCCTTTATTTTCTTTCTTCTTTCTAGATATTTCTGTCTCCTGATGAGGAGGGACCTTTAGCTGCCCTCGAAATCGATTGAGTGTTTCTATTATATACTTACGCTAAATACAAGGTTGTTTTTTACGATTTTGATATCGTTAATTATTTAAAATTTTATAATATTCCATTTCTGAATAATGGGTATAATATTTTATGCTTGTGTAAATGAGAACATGGGAAGTAGATCTACTTTTTATCATTATTTTTATGTCTTGAAATATTATCCCCAAAACATAAAAGCGATTAAGACATCTAACAAGCTTGTTGTACATAAAACAGCATTAGAGGTTGTTCTGCATGTTATGTGCTGATTTCTTGTGTGAAGACTAATGTTTCAATCTATTTCCTTCTCTATAGTTTAAACTTGGAATTTTTACCTCAGTATATTTTACTTTGCATTATTTCATGGATCATAAGAATGCTTTTGTGAAATTGAACTAAATTATACCATTAAAAGTTAAATTCGTTTCAATTATAAGAATGACAAGAAAATTTTAAAATATCCTTTACATATCTAAGGCATATCTACAGCATATCTAAGGCAGTTGGTGAACATGAGACAGGTAACTAATCTTTCCTTGCATGAACTGGGAAAACCTAAACTTTTCCCATTCTGTTGAAAACCTGCCTACACTCAAATGATATGTGGTTTCAAGACAGGTAAAATGATGTTCCTTTTAATGCTTTTTAATGTAAAGTAAAAATATGCTTCAAAGTGTTAATACATAAAATCTTAAGGATCTAGACTAGTCCACTGATGCCAAGCCACTGTGGTTTTGGTGTACTTTTATTAAGATGAAATTGAAAGCATTATTTAATACTGAATACATTAAAATTTCAGACAACCAAATCCCATAGGGGCCTGTGCATTAAAAAAGTCTAGAGAATTCTTTTCATGAAGGCCAAATATGTAATTATTGCATTGTAGGTTTCAGAGTTTTATTTTTTCATTTATCATATTTTAACAAAAATTATATAGTTAAAAAACAAATATTCTTGCTTCCATTGACAATATTAAACAATGGAACTTTTTTTTTGTATGAAACATGTTTATGTTTCAATTAAAATAAAATTATTGTTTTATATTAAGACTTTAAAATCAGGTGCATAGTATTGTTTGTCATTTTTCTTTTTATAGTTAAATGAAGAAATTATTTTTTATTTAAGTAAAGCATGGTGAGTCCTATATTAACTTGAAATTAAACCAAAATATATTTTTATTCAGTTAAAATAACGATTTTTATGCTAATACATTAACTTAACGTAAAATAATAAAAATATTTTATGTTATTTAAATCAATCGGAAATTTTTGAGCCGATAAATAAAATGATCAGCAAACTTGGTTTTATGTGGCTTAGAGAGAATAAACAATCTTGATTACTGGAAATCTTGAGTCTCTATTATTGGATATTTACAGTACGACCTATTTTAGTCACATACTGCAAAATTTCATAGCGTTTTATTCTTTCTGATATGGTTTTCCTTTCCTCTGCCAAAAATTTCATTTTACAAAGTTGCTGTTGTCATGCATATATTCATTTTTGAAAATATCTTTTCATTTTTAGACCTTTCAAAAGTCACTTTTTCGTCAAACACTTACTGTTGCTCAGAATTCTGCGGCAGGAATTTCTCCCAAAGCTTCACGTTATGTTGGAACTTGGTTGATATGCTGTAGTGGTATGGTTGTTGGATCAGTCATCTTGGGAGGTATCACAAGGTGAAATATGTTTTTATAGCTATATTCATTGTATCATCTTTTTTTGTTATATGCATGTGTGTGTGCGTGTAATGAACTGGAAAATGTCCTCACTGACAGCGTAGATCAAGGGTTCCCAACCCATGGCACATAACTCATACCCGCTGTTGTGCGATTCAAATAAGAACATTTTAGTTTTTAATGAAATTCTATGTGAAAGTTTCCTCATTTTGAATGAAATAGAAATCACGTCCAACACAGATACCAGCAGAAAGCGAAATGCGACTGATCTCTTTCTTTTTATGTGGATGTATTATTAATTCTATCCAACTATAAATTCACCTTGAAAAAGTAAATGGTGCCCGCTGTCCAACAGATATTCTAGAATATGCTCTTAGGGACAAAAAGGTTGGGGACGCCTGGTGTAGATGTTGAAGCACACTGCTGACACATCATGTATTTACATAGAAGCGACATGTAGTTACGGCAAATTTAAATATTCCTTTTTGTTGATCAAACATTCCAGTAAGCTGACATAAATAACTGAGCTGCAGCAATCGGGCGTGTTTCTGAATTTATTATATTTTGTTTTAACCCACTGAGCAGCACAGAATTTTGTATCTATCATGAAGACCTGTAGTTCAGCAGCATTTATTAGCCACTTTTTTTATTCTCTATTTTTATGGAAACTTATATTTATTAAGATGACATCTATATTATTAAAGAAAGTAAGAAAGCAAAATATCTTAAATTACAAACTAATATGTGCCATGTGACCAAAAATCTCATGATCAGGTAAAGCCGCTTTTGCCACTCAGAAGTTAAGAGACCAAGCATTAGCAGGAGAAGCAGAAGTGAAAAGCAATGTATTTCAGAATGAAAGTTCATTTGAGATGGAGGTTTTAGTTTGCAGTTTTAACTTTCAGTTCTGAAGTATTTGCATCATCATCGTTATGAAAAGAATGGGGAGGGGAAATATCCATATTAAATTGGAGGGTTAACAGCAGGGTTGGATTAAAACATTTTAGAGATCCTAAGCACTTGAAAAGTTTTTGTACCCCCTCATAAATTTATGTCTTCCTCCCAATTTCTTCTCTCTTGGTCTTGGTTTACCTGCACCATATATTCCATGGTAAAATTGACAGTGGGAAATTTTTGTGGTGCCTTCTTTCCTGCCTTCTAAAAGACCTTTTTGTGGTGCCCCTTTTCCTTGATGCCTTAAATACTCGTATATGCTTAATGTGTTTAATGGTTAACTGCTATTGCTAATGTAAATCAGAATTTTCATGTAAATGTTTTTTCCTGTTACATTTACACACATGTATATAGGGTGTGATTCAAAAGTTTCAAGACTTACCTCAGAACTAGAAATTTACTGGACATTTAAGTGCAGCAACTAAATTCTTCAAAATATGATCCTTCAGCATCAACACAGTGCTGCCAGCATGTCTTTCACTGTTCGTAGCCCTTCTGGAAGGCCTCAGGTGTCATGCTGTCAAGGGCTCTCGTCGAAGCCTGCTGGATTCCATTGATGGAGTCGAATCGCTTCTCTTTTAGGCCTGTCTTGATTCAGGGGAAGAGGAAAAAGTCACTTGGAGCCAAGTTGGGGCTAGGGTGGCCGCGGCAGTGTTGTCATGTTGAACTTGACCAAAACTTTGGCGGCGGCATACGACATGTGAGCGGGCACGTTATCATGGTGAAGAAGCCAATTGTCCTCGATCGCCGGGTAGACGTGGTGAACTCGATCCCTCAAGCGGCGGAGCACTCCGGCGTAAAAGTCACCTTTGACAGTTTGTTCATGAGGAACAAACTCCTTGTGAATCACTCCTTTACCATAAAAAACAGCCAGCATGCACTTCACACGTGACTTCCTCATGCAAGCTTTTTTGGGCTTTGGTGAGGAAGCAGTGTGCCATTCTGAGCTTTGACGCTTTGACTTAGGATCATACTCGTAGATCCAGGTCTCATCACCAGTAACCGCTTTCTCCGGAAGGTTCGGATTAACATTCAACTGTTGGAGCATTTCCTGGCAAACAGTCATGCGCCATTTTTTCTGATCCACTGAGAAAACTTTTGGCACCAGTTTGGCACACACTTTTCGCATCATCAATTTCTCTGTCACAATCCTCCACACCGTACTCTGACTGAGTGTCAGTTCATCGGCAATTAATCTAGTACTAAGACGATGGTCATTGTTTAAAAGTTCCCGCACTCTCTTTACATTTTGATCTGTTCGCCTTGATGATGGTCTCCCAGAGTGGTCATCGTCTTCAATAGTCCTGCGGCCATCTTTGAAAAATTTGTGCCACATGAAAACCCTTGCATAGGACATGGCTTCTTTCTTAAAGGCCTCTTGAATCATACCGAGAGTCTCCATGGCGGCTTTATTCAGTCGCACGCAAAACTTACTCACATAACGTTGTTCCAAGTGCTGCTCTATTTTTGTCTCTCCCACTTTTCAACCAAGGTCAATGACAAGCACTAACACTGCAAACGATGTGCCCTCTCCAGGGTTCTGGAGGCAACTGCCGCAGCGTCAGTTCGTTCCCTGAGACCCCCCACTACTTTTCTTACCCGGCGGAACCAGTCTGTATGCGCTCCCCTACTCAGAAATGAACCAGTCTTGAAACTTCTGATTCACACCCTGTATATATATATGTTGTGCTTATATATTTGTAAATATTTAAATTCTTTTTACTGCATTTTTGTATTATTTATTTATATATATGTTTTGTGGCCAAATTTTTTTTATTTATGTGTGTTTTTTTCTAATATGGAATTGATTTTGTTGATCTGAGAATGGCAGGGTTCAGAATATAAAAATAGCTTAAGTGAAATTTGAGGTATGTTCTTCATGCGACAAATCTTTCTTAAATTTTATGGAAGCTCATGTCCTGAACTGTGAGTTTATTCAGCAAATGATTTTGACAATTGCCAATATTTCTTATCCCTAAAGAGAAATTGTTCATATTTGCAAAATGCTTAAGCTATGTGAATTGCTGATTGTAATTAGTTTTATATTAAATTTTTAATTTTTACTTGTTATTCGAAGTGATAATTCAGAGAGATATAAAATAACCGATAGCCAGCAACAATATATGCGCACTTTTTTTTAGGCTCACAAAGTCTGGACTATCAATGGTAGATTGGCACCTTTTTAAAGAATTTCCACCTTTATCTAAAGAACAGTGGATATTAGAATTTGAGAAGTATAAAAAATTTCCAGAATTTAAACAGTAAGTATTTTTCATCATTTTATTCACTTTATTTAATGCAAAATAATAATTTATTGCTGAAATGCACAGTTTGAAAACTGAGCAAGCAGCTTTGTAGCATATGCAGAGTGGGCAATAAAATTCTGCACTTTCTTAAAGTCATATACTAATAAAAATATTGTTAACTTATTTTATTGAACTTTGATTTAGCAGAATAAACATATCTGGGAATTTACTTTTTAAAAATGTTATTCAGATATCTATTTAAAGTCTTTGGCTCTTTTGCAACCAAGCATGTAGGTTCTGAAAACACACTGACATGCGACATACAAAATTATGGCCATCTGATCACTAATATTTTGTTTCAACTAGGTTGCTATTGTTTTATTTCTTATGCATGACTTCTAAAATACCCCTATTAAAAGAAGTGGGCTGAAGAAATACCTGGGCGCCTTAGAAACCATGCACACCATGCATTTTTTGGATGTCACCTCTATAAGAAATCAGTTTATTTGGGAAAATTTCTTTAACCTTGAGTATGGATGTGTTTGACATGTACTGTGTGGCAATGTCCTGCTGCATTTAGGTCCTTTTGTAATCTTTTCAAATTCTTGTAATTCTGGTGCCAGAATTTCCCACAATTTCCTCATTTAGTCAGCCTAGTGAGAGTAACATTTCTAGAACTTTACTGCTAAAGCCATACCATGCATTTTTGGAACCATATTGGCATATTTATTGTATTTCTTTTCCCAGGCCTTTGGCTCAGTACTAGATATCCCCCCAGACATTTTAATTTGGTAATTTTTTACAATAAAAATGACAGCAATTAATAAACATTGCCTTCCCCCCAAAAAAGCATGAGACTAAATAGAGGGCATAAAATTAAAAGTATTTAGATAGCCCAAAACATTTTCTTCTTTGATATGGATGCAGTGCCCTCATGAAATCAATTAAATAAGAGTCTAAATGTTGGGGGAAGGGACATGCCTCTTTGGCATTTATTGCAGCATTTTGCACTATACCATTATAATTCAAAAGATTTAGTATGGCATCTAGTGTTCAGATCAGTGAAATTATAAGAATGATATACTGAGAAGTATTCCAAATCTGCAAATAAAAGAGCCAGTTGCAAGTATTATAAAATAAAAATAGAGAGAAAATAAAAAAGAGGGGGGGGGAATCTATGATCCATTCAAAAACATATTTGCTAGTTGGAGGAATAATGCTATAAAAATAATTATTGGTGCGAAAGAAGCCAATCACTGGCACTGAGGATTTACACCAAAACAAAAAAAAAGCTCCAGGTGGTATGGCTCCTTAGCTACCCATTATTTTGCTGATTATCCGCAAAGCCTAAATTAAATTAAGCCTAGGTTAAGTTATGGCTTTTTAGATCAGGATTTCTTAAACTGTGGGTCACGACCCCCAAGGGTTCGCGGGACCTGCAGGAGGTGATCATATTCTTTAACTTATTTAATTATATTTATTTTAATTATATTAACTTTATAATTTTACAATATTAAATATTTTTACACAATGTATCTGAAAATAGACAAAGACAATACAGACAAAGAAAAAATAAAAAACGTTTCGACGCATTCTTTTTATAATAAAAGAATTCATTTTCCTTGCATTGTATGTGATGCTGTCATTTCGTTTAACTTGTTTAAAATTTTCACATTGTTCTATGTCTTAAAATTAGAAATTAATGACCTAAAACTGCAATAGTCTATTACAGTACAGGTGAAAACATTGACAGTTTCACTTACGCTTGTGTCGGATTGGCACGGGGATTCCACAAAATTTTTGATAATATTATGGATTCCTGGGGGTCGCAAAAAAATCTCTGATAAAAATGGGTCGCGATTGAAAAAAGTTTAAGAAACCCTGCTTTATATAATATGGCCACCTACACCACTGGTTTATGCAAATGAAGCAGTTTTTGCTACTTAAGTCAAGGGATACTGGTAATTATGCTTATTAGCATATTCATCAGCATGATAGTGAATCTCGTGCAAATAAATGCCTTTAAAACTAGAGTAGTGTTGTAAACCTTGTTCTAATGAATAACTAACATTTAGTTAAATAATAACTAACATGTAGTTAAACTGTTATAGTTCAGTTTCATTTCTTACACCAAATGAATGTGTGTGTAGTGTGAGATCTTGTCTCGATGTTTATGGTAAAATAGTATGCAGTATTGGTAAAGCTACCAGACATATGCACTGTCTCATATTTGAGTCATGTCTTTTCACATTTTTTTGTTTCACCAAAAACATGGCCATGTAGTATTTTCTTTTAATTAAACTAACACTGGGGCAGTGCCTTAAGTAGTGTAACCAGTACAGGTGCTATAAAGTTATCAGAGTCGTAGCTAGGGTTTTCAGTGCCCAGGGACAACTGAAGATTTCGCGCCCCCCTAACTGCTTGCCAAGGATGGAAAACATTTAATTCTAAAATGTGTCGTAACATCAGTTTGGAGGCCCCTTGGATTCTGCGCCCAGGGACAGATGACCCCTTTTGCCCCCCTCTAGCTACGCCCTGAAAGTTATGTAAGAATTATATTTGTGAAGTGTTTCATATAAGAAGCATGAAGTTCACATATGAAACATTCCTTAGTGACTAAATTCTGTGAACTGACTTATCCCTAGGCACTATTAGCACACCCTCCTCCCAAATGGTGTTTGAGAAAAACAGGGTTGCTTTTTGCAAAAAATTTATGATCCACCGTATATAATAGTTGTTTTTATGAGGGTGACTTTGTGAAGTCAAGATTTCAAAATGAATGTTCAGTTGTTAGACCATTTGCATTCTGTTTAATAGTAATTACTAGTAATTAATTAGTAGTAACTACCAAAGGAAAATGATAAGAAAGCATATTAACAAAAGAAATGCATGTAATTTTATATGGCTAAATGTGAAGGAAGCATAATATATTTAGTGTGTCTGTCATTGAGTAATGAGCCTTAAAGCTAATTTTTAATTTAAAAAAATCATATTTTACCTTCTGAAGACAAATCAGAAGTAATAATATAATATTTTTTCAAACCGTGACATTATTTTGTGTTACGGGTACTGAAATGGGTTATTAGATTTTGTACTTTCTGGTAATCCATTTTATAGATTGTTTGTTGCATGTTTATTGTTTTATTTATTTTCTTTTAATTGTTTTTTAACATTTTGACTTGATGCAAATGTGTGTTTTATTATTTTTCTATGTAGACAAAATGCCGATATGACCTTGGAAGAGTTTAAATGGATATGGTATATGGAATATGGACATCGGATGTGGGGTCGAGCAGTTGGAGCTACTTTTCTTCTTCCTGCCATTTATTTTTGGAAAAAGAAATGGTTTACTAAAGCTATAAAAAGCAGAGTCCTAATATTTGGCACTCTAATATTATGTCAGGTAAAATGAAGTATGAATATTTTTCTATATATTTATTTAGGTTTAAATGCATTGAATATGTCCGAAATATTTTTGCTTATGATCCCTAACATTTCTAACTTTAACAAATGCTAAGGAACAGAGGTACATTTTGGAATAATAAATAATAGACATATTGTGAGTTTTTTATAATGTAAAATTGTAAAGATTTCACAACATGGGAAAAGAAGGTGAGAAAAAGAAAGGTGGAAGGGAAAAGATACTCTTTGAAGCATTTTCGAAATCACAGAAAATGTTCATTTCTACTGAAATCATGACACATTGCATTCCTTAGTAAGGTGCGTGTGATCTCGGATACTAATACGTGTTTTATATCTGTTAAGTATGCTTTCCCTCAACTGTTTAGAAGAGTTTGAGGAGTGTTGTCCGATTCATTTTGAGCTTCTGGACAGTGGGAAGGATGATTTATTTGTGCAACAACTCTACTGAGGCATTTTCTGCAGGATTTAGTTCAGTGAATATGCAGGCTGTTTCTATGCATTCAACACCTTCCCTTTCATGGGTCCCAGGCAGGGCTCGATTTACGTATAAGCTACATAAGCATAGCTTAGGCCCCCCTCAAAATTAAAATATAAATACAGTCAAAAGTCTTTAATCCGGACTCGTCGAGACTTCGGCGATTCCGGATTATCGATTTTTCCGGATTATAGATCATCAGTTTACATTTGGCAAGATGGCATGCAGAATTTATAAAATTAAAAATATGAAACCGTAATTTATAAAATAATGAGCAATTATGATTTAAAGGGTATCAAAATTTACAAAAAAAAAAAAGCTTAATATTTATTTGTTTACTTTATTAAACATTTCTTTCAACGCGTGCATGCTTACCTTACGCATAGCCGAAATTAGAAAATTGCAACCAGAAAACTATTTGATTTGTATTCGTGATATTTATAATGACGAGGAATTTGATTTAAATCATATCAAAGACTCGAGATTAAATACTACATTTAATAAGGAATTATAAGCCGAATAAAATAAAAACATCTGCTCTGAAGATAACGATAGTGGTGACAGATCAACTTCCAGTTCATTGCGCATCGCGACGTCCCCCCCCCCACGTAGAGCAGCGTGAAATTGATAAACAGATTTCGGAACGGTTAGATAAACAAAGGATATACCTTTATCCATTTTTTGTAGCAATTCGTTTTTTGTTTGATGGACATCGAATCATACTTTCGTTTTCTAGATCCTTTGGGAGCTCCAGCATCGGAAATTCTATTTGACGTAATCGAAAGTTCAAGCTTACTTTTATAAAATTGCTCTTACAGTCTGCAAAAAATAATAAGCCGGATCCAATTCGAAGATTAAGGAACAACGCAATCATCAACATTAACTGAAATAGATAATTAGATAATTTTAGCTTATGCCGTCCGACGCAAAAACGTATTCTGCACTTGCGCAGACGCATGTGCGCAGTCGTAAAGGTCTTGTGCAGACGTGTAAAACCGCCTATGAGCATGCGTCAACACGGCGCATGCGCAGAAAGATTTTAGCTTTGAGGTCCGGATTATAGATCATTCCGGATTATGGGTGTCCGAATTAACGACTTTTGACTGTAGTATTAAAATATATTATAATAGACTTATAAAGGGCCCCATATCTCAAATAGCTTAGGGCCTTATCGAGTCTAAATCAGGCTCTGGTCCTAGGCATTTCAGCTGCTGACCCACTGAAATACTGAAAATTTAGACATGACTAGGAGAATCTTGATGCAGTACTGCTGGAATGTAATGGTATCTGCATTTGAGCAAAATCCTCTCGTTCCATGCGTTATCAGTAACAGCAAATCTACGAATCTGATCATTATGGCATAGTGACATTCAGCCATAATGATCAGATTTGTGGATATGCTGATATTGATGTCAGATTCTCTTCTCTTTCGTTATTAGCTAGTGTGCAAGAGAAGTGCATGAAGCTGATTGTTATGGCAGAAGAGTGAGTATGAGTTATGGCGGAAGAATCACATGCACACTGCAGCCATGTTGCTTAGAAATAAATGTGTTTATCTTTTCTTTCCACAAGCAGTAAACTCCATATTAATACTTCAAACCTTTTAGTTCATTAATATGTACTACCATATAGAGAATTTGGACTTTTTCGCTTTATCTCATCAACTGTGAAAGTTGGCTTTTTTTCAAACCATGAGTGTTGGTGAAAATCCCATCAAAGTTGCACTAGTCATTCGTATGGAATTCTGAAGGAAATAATGTCTCATTATTTAATAAACAGTCAGGTCTTCGTTTTTGTACTTTGTAGAAAGGCTTTTATTGATTTCTACTCTTTTGTTAGGCCTCATTTTATAGGACATTCTGTTTAGAACTTTTATGAGTACAAACTTTCCATAGGTAATTGTTCCAATCCATTACTGTTTTGTTATCCATATTCAGCTGACTGTTTCGTGCCTTTTAAACACTTGTTTTGATAGTAGGATGCCATAAATTAAAAAATAATCCCTTGCTTACACTTCTGCAATAGGCAGGTTCCAAATTTTAATACACCCTCTTAACTGGCTTAAATGGGAGCTGGTTAAGCAAAATTCTGGTTAAAGCAGAAAGTGAAAAAAAAAAAAAAGATTTGATTGAAGGAAATGCACTTTTTTTGAAAGTGAGCATTTATTAAATGTAGCAATTTATTAAAAAATTGTACATACTATTATTAGGAATGCTTAAAAAATTCAGTCTTTTTTTTTTTTTTTTTTTTTTTGTGCTGAAGGCTAAAAATCCGTCTACTCATTGCATCATTTCACCGTTTTTTTAAAAGCTTCACATTGAAGGAAGAAGCTGATGCCTGTTCCAGATAGCATAAAGCCATTTTCAACTGCGGTACGTGCATTCTTTTCTGTTCAAGATCAGCACGTGTCGGCTCTATTATCGAATTGCATTCTAATTAATACCTTCTCCACTCATATTCTGGGACCCTTTTATTTTTGAATTAAGAGGAGTGTGCGATTCCGTTAATGCACAAAATGTTTCTTTTTTTTTAAAGTTTATATATTTTTTATTTTATATCTAAAATACATAATTGCAGAATTTTAAATATTTTTATAATTTTTTTTTCTTATTTTTTAACTTAAATTAATTATGACCAGTTAAAGCGGGGATCCAGTTGAATGGAAGCTGGTTAAGGAGTCTACTGCAATTTATTTTTTTCAAAATGAAAAAAAGAAATACAAGAATAATATCCTTGTTCATTAAAAAAAAGTAGGTTATTGAGAATCATTTGGTACACCGGACAAAAGCACAGATACTGTGTATGTGTTGTTATACCAAACTGATGCTAAATCATGCTACTTGGCTACAGTTTCACAGTTGAGATAACGTATGTATCACTTTTTCTTTACACTAACCTCTTATATACTGCCTGATTTTCATTAAATTTTTCATAAAAGTCTCTTGTTTTTACTTCTAAAAATTGAGTTTAGTAATGAAATATGCATTTAATTTTAATTTTAGGACAGAAATAACTAAGCTGATAGAGAAGGATATTAAATTTTGTGAAAAAACTAGCATGCAAAGCTTTCGCATGTAACTATTATCTTTTTCATGTATATGATTTCTAATATTTTTATTGGTTTACAAATTTTAACAGAAGTAATCTACTATTTTTATTGGTTTACAAATTTTAACAAAAATAATCCACTATTTTCATTGGTTTACAAGTTTTAAGATATATAATATGTATATTATATTCATTATGTATAAAATACTTGTTATTCATATGAAGCTTTATATATTGTTATGAATTTTGTACATACATAAATAATTTCGGTGAAATTTTTTTTTTTTTTTTTTTATGTATAATGTAACGTAAAAATATAAAGAAGTGAAGCTTGTGGGAAAAGTAAGAATTCAGAGGCAAGTTTATTTGACATTGAGCAAATGGCTATCTTGCTAAGTTGGCAAGATCTCGCTAAAATGGCGATGGTTTTGAGAGTAATTTTTGTTACCAAATGTCGTCGGACAACACACACAGTCATCAGACTTGGCGAAACTTTGGTCCAGTCCTTGTATTATCGTAATGTGTATTTTAATTGAACAACTGTAAACTGATTCCATGTGTAGCTGTTATTGTATCCAGCCTTCATATGCCTTCTAATAATTTCAAAATTTCTCGGCTGCCGAGTGAAAACTATATAAGATTAGAGAAAGCATTTGCTTTCAGATTTTAGCTCAGAGCTGAATTCAAAGTATTGTAATATCCATTCTAGCTTTGCTTTTTAGATGTGCTTTGCATTGCATTGTGTTTAATGTTCTTAGTAGTTCGAAGTGTAACTATTGATTGTGCTCTGTGGTACAGTGCAGAGCTGTATGAGTATTTTTGTGGAATGTTCCAAAACTGCAATGTGTTTCTTATGGTAAGATAAATTTTATCAAGCTATCATCAGTTCTGTGTGCATTCAATTATTATGAACCCGTACACATGCAACAATATTGTGTTGATGTATCTCTGTGTGTCATGTGGATGTAACTTAATTTATCTTAATGTGAATGTTTGCTTACTGACATCTAGTTAAATTTCATGCCAAAGTTTACATTTGTCACTAAGTAGTGCCCTGTTAACCAGTAAGTACCCATGAATGTCTAGAGATGGTTATACATTCATGCTCACTTTGCACCACCCATTACTTTTGCTGTAGAAACAAGTGTAGTGCCTCTCATTTTGTAAATACTTTTTTTTTTTTTTTGCTCCTGAAAAAGAGGGAACTATGTCTGATCACCCTCGGAATCAGTAGAGCTTTATTCAAAATTTGTGCCAAACTGAGATTGCTTTGATACCTTCTGATTATACATGTCTTCTTCGGTTTCAGCATTTTGTAAAATGGCCTAATTTTTGTTTTGTTTGCTTGTTGGACGCATTTTTGTGTACACACACAATGATAACCAACTAATGCATGCTCGTATTGCGCATGGGTTTCAAGTGGATGGGGTTTGTATGCTTTAATATTTCTTCCACTTTGCTGACCAATATACACTTGCTTTAGAAATATAAATATTAGCTATGTAGACTTTTTCTTTTCTCATAAAATTTCTTATTCTTAAGTATATTGTAAAATTATGTAACTAGATGATTGAGTATGAATATTTAAGAAAGACTTGCATAGATAAATGAAAGGAATTCATGAATTGGAACTAAATATTGTTATGATCCTACGTTCTTTTAGCTTATTGGCCTAGAATTTGTTCTCAAGAATTTTAATTGTTATTAGTTAATCAAGAGGAGAGTTCTAAAGTAAACAAAAGCTCATGGGATTTGTCAGCATCAAAAACCAGACAGAAACTCAGCATTTTTTAAAATTTGAAATTTAAAAAATATTTTAATATATATTACTGAAATTTAAGATATGTTTTAAAATATAGCATGTTTTAAAATATAGCAACTGCAGTTTTGCAAATGGAAATATTTAACATCCATAATACTGTAAATTCTAATGTGTTTGATCGCTTAAAGAAATTTTTGGCATTTGTATTATGTGCCAGATTAAATTTCTTTTGTTGCTGTTGCTAATGCTCATTTGTCTGACTTATAGTCAGCCCAAGCGCATGAAATTTCTCATGGCAAGGAGCACAAGTTTATGCCTGTTGTTGGCAACAGCCTTGAGCACCTTACAGGTGATAATGTGCTTTAACTCATTTCCATCCCTGATTTTGATGTAGAGCATCCCAGGGGAATAGGTCCGAGGGTCTCCCATTTTCCCTACCATCAATCTCTCGAGAGGACTTTCGACTTACCACATATTTAGAGTGTCCCAATGCCACTTAGACACTATACATTTACAAACATTTGGCACAGCAGTCAGCGAAGCTAACCATTATATCGGTTAGGCGGCCAATTTGTTTTTCTGAAATCAATTATAGGCTAGAGTATTTGAATATTATTTTACAAAATTGTAAACTTAGTAAAAAAAATAAGTCTTTTAATCTATTGGGCTCTGACTTCTCGGTAAATGGATTGACTTACTGCTATCCAGTTACTACAATAATATATCCAGTTGAGTTAAAAATTTGGCCTCGACTTCTTGACTTACTGCTACTTACTGCTGGACAGCTTCTTGACTCACTGCTATTCAGTTGCCACAATAGGGTAACCAGATGAGTTAAAAATTTGGTACATATAGTTGTTGGTAGGTCATGGGATTATTCATATTTTTTTTAATCTACTTTTATTGCAAAACAGTTTTGCTATTCATTCCTACTATTATATTTCATAGCAAAAATTTTAAGTCATTGTACTTCTGTTTCAGGGTTTGCTTGGATGGTATATGGTTAAAAGCGGTTTGGAAGAAAAACCAGAACCAGATGGTGTAGCACGAGTGAGCCAGTATCGGTTAGCTGCTCATCTTGGAATGGCATTTATTCTGTACAGTTTAATGTTGTGGTCTGGTCTTAATCATTTGTTACCTCCACAGTCTATGGAAACAACACAGAAATTATTGAAATTTCGAAGATTTGCGCATGGAGCAAAAGGACTTATTTTTCTTACTGCTTTTAGTGGTAAGAATGTTTTAAGCACACATCTTCAATAAATTTTAAAACATTGTTGAATACATTTATTAAGTTTTAAAATTTTATTGCTTCTTTGAAAAAAATCTGATGTGGATGCCATATGACTTCCTTGTATTGGCCTATTAAATTATACATTTTTTTTTTTTTTTTTTTTTTTTTGCTGCACTTCATTTAAACTTATTTCCTCTAACTTGAATAACCAATCCCTCAAAGCAAGTTGAAATGACATCAAAAACTGCAAATTTTTAAATTAAATATCCCAGTTAATTTGTCATCTGTAAGTCAAACTTCATATAATTTTATTTTTCATAATGACTATAAAACATTTTCAAATATAAGTATAGGAACAGGGAGACTGCATTAAAGTAAAATTTCGTTATTTGTTGAAAATTGATTTTTGTTAAATTTGACATTGCAAAAACATGAATAACACTTCTGTAATTGGAAGTATATGACTATGAACAGTGTTTGCAAAAATATAGCCTGGGTAAGTAAGTGGGTATATATAATTTCAAAAGAATTTTAACTACTTTTGTCAAAGGAGATAATATACTAATAATCTGTTAGAAAATAAATTATGTATATATATAAAGTACAAAAAGAAACATAATAATAGTATAAAATTTTTTTAAAAAATTTAAACCCATCCTGCACTGTAGCTGCAGGACTGAAGTAAAATAAACTTAAAGCATCAAAAGTTAAAATTAAATTGAAATCAAAACAAGGCAATTCCTCAGCAATATACAGACACATACAGTGTACGTACAGATGTCACGAGAAAAAAATCATCCAAATAAATACGGGAATGGTCAAAGTGGGTATTTTCGTTGAAATATATACCTAAAATCTTTTGCGGTTCCAATATTTCCTTTATTTTGTACAAGGAAGTAAAAAGTGCTTCACACTTTGCCCATACAGGGTGTCTCAAAAGGTTGTTGCCAAACTTAACGTGCTAGTCTGTCATACCATGACAATCAGATATACATAGGAATTTGTGTCTGAAAATGGGAACAGTGGCCACTAGAGGAGAATGTTCGCAGGCTTATGAGAAAGTGAGAAGTGTGATCATTTCAGTTGAGGACGTTGCAGGAGAAGGATGAATCGTTTTACTAACTCAGTTTTTTATGGACATTTTGGGGAAAGAGTGTTGTTATATCTGATTATTGATTTTCTAGCAGCTACACAACAAAACATATGGTTTCATTTTGATGGAGGGGCTGCACATTTTAGCAGCATTGTACAGAAATACCTCGATATTACATATCCTGGTCGCTGGATTGGCATAGGCAGACCAGTTGCATGCTGGTTGCGACCCCCAGTCTGATTCCCTCTGATTTCTAACTGTGGAGATACATGAAATCCATGGTGTACGAGATGATGGGAACATCAAACATGGATCTTGTCACCAGGATTGTGGAAGTACCGGCATGTGTCCATGACACACCTATCTATTTTTGAACAGGTCTGTGAATCCATATATTGATGTTGTGAAGCATGTATTGTGGCGAATGGAAAGAGTTTTAAACATCTTCTGTGATTTAACCATGTTCTTTAATAAAAGTCATATTAACACCTCTTTTGACATCCTTTCTTTCTTCCCTCTACGCTTGCAAACACTGCCCTCTAGCGGTCGCTGTTCCCATTTTCAGACACAAGTTCATGTGTAAATCTTGTTTTTGTGGTATGACAGACTAGCATGTGAAGTTTGGTAATGATCTTTTGAAGCATGCTGTATATTATGTGGCAGGTTTATTAAATTAGCCGTATGAAATTCAAATACGTAACTGAAGTATGGATTGAAGGATAGTGGTATAAGGTGTACAAAATACGTTTAAAATATATAGCCAAGTAGCCCAACTTCAGAAGCATGTTCAGTGGGCTTAAATTAATATTCTTTCATCAATAATAGTGTTTGAAAATATCTGATGCATACCTTGTTTATTGGTGTGAGATGTGCTTTCTTTATCCAAATATTTATATCAATAATTTAAATCAAGATTTTTTATTTTAATGTATTTTAAATAAAAAAGAAATGTTGAATTATTTATTTATTTAAAAATTTATCTCTAGGCATTTACTTATCTGGCACATTTCAAAATTGCAGAATATGATAGTTTTTTTTAACATATTACGATTTTTATTTAGAAAGCCAGGCGGTCATACGAAGTGACCGCTGTTCTAGATATTATAAATTATAATTAAAATGATTTGTGCAAATGTGTTGCTAATTTAAACTGAATTACCGAGGGCAGGTGGCAAGGACGCCCCTTTGCTTACTGCCCCATGGGGTTTCCCCCTTCTACTTGCTTAATTGCTTAAACTAGAGTACAATGAAGGAAACCACTGGCAGTACATTTCTTAAGAGACACCGCTAGCTTAATAAATTAAGGTGATTTAAATAAAGAATTAATTCATATGTCAAAGATCTCTTAGTACACAACATTTCTTGTGTAGATCTTTCCATCATTTTTAACCCCTTCGCACCGACTGTCACATATACGTGCCAGCAACGAACGCACTTATCTACCGGCCGACACGTAGGCGTGCCAGAGCATTGTTGAGTTTTCTACCGAATGTCACGTATTTGTGCCAATACCTTGGAACGTTTTTCAAACTATAATTTCTGCCACAAGATGGCACTGTATGCCCATATGGTTTCAGATACATGTACATTAGACCTTCTACTCGACATGAGAGAAGCATGACTCACATACACGGGTTTTTGATTATATAAACAAACGGGGAACTAAATGTTTCCGAAAGGCGTGATTTATGATGTCTCTTTAAATCGCACTTTATTCGGACATGGTAGTTGTTTATTGTAAGTAGAAGTTTTATATGTGCTAAAGCGTTGGGAGTATTTTGGTTTGCAGTTCAGTTTTTTTTAGAAAATAATTAGATCTTGTTAGACGTGAATTCTTTCTGTTTTTACCTACCGTTTCAATGTCGAAGCGTCGAAAATGTTTAACAGAGCATGAAATAGCAGAAATGATGCAAAATATTTTCAGATATTGATTCTGAAATTCTGATATTGATTCTGAAAGATTAACTGAAAGACATTTTCCAAAACTTTGTTCAGAAGAGACTGATAAGAAAATGAGACGACGATGCTTCGTTTATTCACATTCCCGGAAAAATCCTCCGAAACGGCAAATGAGTTATTATGAGTTCAAGGAATGTAACGTAGGACTGTGTGTAGATCCCTGTTTTAAAATTTTTCATACAAAAAGAGAATTTTAAGTAATATATTTAGTTTTCAGATGTATAATGTTAAAAGTCATAAAATGGTGAGTAATTAAAATAAAATGTGTAAAATATGCATTTAAACAAGAAATAAGGTAATTAAAGTATATATATAAAAATATCTATAAAACATAAGCCGTTTAAATACTCTATAGAGCATTATTAAACAATGCGTTGATACTTCAGAAATTTCATGGATTTAGGCTTAGTAGCAAAAAAGCCCCCAGCCCTGGAGAGACGCTCGCGGAAGACACTGCCGACCTCCGCGATAAGCGCGCGTTTTCGCTACCCGGCTCGAAGGGGTTAAGCTCGACTTGCAGAGGACCATCCATTATTTTTAATTTTACGTCTGTTTTTTTCCCGAACTCTTGAACAGGCAACATAAAGTTGACTGTGTCCAAATGCAGGCTCAGGTAAAAAAAATGCCAACACATTTAAGCGTTTGGTCCTGAAACTTATTGATGGTCATAGCAAAGGCATGTTTTACAGGAAATTGTACATCTCAATTGGAACGGCAACCCTGTGCCGTGGCAACTTCACCCCATTGGCTAGTACAGTTACGCAAGCAACCAATAAACTATCAGTGACGAACATACACTTAAGCCGCATATATATATGGGGTGAAGTAACATCATCTCGTCTGAAACGGCTGGCTCCCAGGCTTAGAGAAGCACACCGTTGGATTCTGCAGGTCCGTGGCACGCCATTTTGACCATTCGTCTCATATTAGGACTTTAATTAGATGAGATATTAATTAAAAACTAATTTCCCCCTACGTTTTCCCTACATTTTCCACATTTTTTCTTGGGTTTTCCCTATTGGAGGGATTTGGCTACGTGGCAAAAAATTTTTTTTTTTTTTTGAATATCTACAGAACGGCGTCGAGTTGAAATTCGAGACGTGCATTCTCGGATTCTAAAAAATTCTCCGAATCCATCGATACCATTCTCATCTTTGTACAACTTTAATTGGCCGAGATATTACCTTATTTGACGGCATATAAGACACTCCTTATTTAGAAGGCCACACACAAGGAAAAAAAGGGTACCACAATGACTTAAAATGTGGTTTCTTTTAGTTCTCATATTTCATAAAAGCCAAATAAACAATCATTGAATGCAATTACCAAACATATTTTTAATTAAGGAAAATTAACAAACGGCAAGCTATTTTGAACATGATAGCTTGCCGTTTGATAATTTCAATAATGAAATTTCAATAATGAATAAATGAATGAACGGCAAGCAGTCAAACATAATACAAAATAAAGCAAAGACAACAAAAAACACAGATTCAGGGAAAATGTTGCCTATCATGAAATTAGACTTTAATCACTTTCAAAACCATAAAAATCCTTTTCACTATCATCATCATCGAAAACGAGAATATCGTCATCACTACTGTTTCCGTCATTGCTAGTATCATCTTCTTCGAATAATGCCTCGTCTTCTGTTCAGTCAAGAGCATTACTGATTCCGCACTTCTTAAAGGACTTAACAATTACTTCAGCTTTTACGTCCTCCCAAGATCTTTTTACTCACTCGCACACTTGTGGAATGAAGTGGTAGAATGAATACCTTAGGGTATGAGGGCGTGATGTGGCTCTCCTATCCACTTGTTCCATCGTTCTCGCACCTTTTCCTTAAATGGCTTATTCACCAATACATCTAATGGCTGAAATTGGCTAGTAAGTCCACCAGGAATGACAGCTATCTGGGTTTTTAATTCTCTCGCTTTATTCTTTATGGTTTCAGTTCTATGGGCGCTAAACTGATCCAAAAACCTAAAGAGAGGGTTTTCTTAAGAGTCCACCAGGTCGCCTCGCCCATACATTCTGTAACCACAGTTTCATTCCAGCTTCGTCCATCCAGCCTTTCGGATGAACATGAACAATTACACCCGTTGGAAGTTTTTCTTTCAGATGAGTTTTTCTTTTGAGTATGAAAAACGGCAACATGTTAGCGGAGTCTAACATGTTTTGCTGAGCACAACATGTTTGAACATTAAAATATCTGATGCATACCTTGTTGTGCTGAGCACATGCTGTTGTTGTGCTGAGCACAACATGTTAGAACTATCATATATCGGGTTTTTTCATGACCTGTGGTTTTATTGGTTATTGATTTAGACCCTTTAATACTCACAGTCTTGTTGGATGATACATCAAATGTGAGTGAAATTTCATCCATATTTCCTATTTGACCGAGCTCAAAAGAAGTTTTCTTGAGTGCATTTACAACAAACCTATGAAATGCTAGCATTTTTTCTTCATAATCTGCAGGCATTTTCTGTGCAATATTTGTTTTTCTGCGCATTGATAAGCCTTGCCTTTTCATGAACCTGCAGCACCAGCCCTCAGACCCTGAAAAGTTCTGATTCCCATGTTTTTTTGCAAATTCTTTGGCATCATTGATTATCATTTTGGTTGAAACACTTATCCCAGATTTCCTCTTATCAATCACCACTATTTTTACGGCATTTTTAAGTTCAGGACAAGATGGAGCTGGGCATCGAAGGTTATGTTTTTGTTTTTTAGCAGTTTTCAGTTGATCTTCCTGCAGACGCCAAGTACGTAAAATTTTTTCGGTAAGTGGTGAACCGAAATGCCTTGCTGCTGCTCTGTTTCCATGCACTTTGGCATAGTTTAACACTCCTAGTTTATACTGAACTGTATAGCTTAATCTCTTGTTTCCTGTAGTCATATTTTCCAGGGTATTTTTTCTAAACAAATAGTTTTAAACACCGATACCGACACGTTTATACAGAGTAGCACCGATACCGACACGTGTGTCGACTGAGTCAAAGAAAGTCTATGTAAAGAAAGAAAGGCTCATAGACGTGATGTGACTGTCGAACCTGTTCGAACTTTGATATCAGCTTCGAGCTTTGACGCTTTTTGGCGACAGATATTTCACGCTTGCCCAAAATAATTATGGCAGATGTAGAAAACATTATGTGTGTCTAGACCTTTATCCAGGCTAAAAATAGCATTCAATATTGAAAGTTAACCTGTGTCCTTCACGTATAAGACGCAGGTAACTTTTTTGCGACCAAATTTAGGAAAAAACGTGCGTCTTATATGCCGTCAAATACGGTAATTAAAAACTGTGGCAACGTTAATTTCCGCGCTCATTTTTCCGAGTGGCAACAATAAACTATCGGCAACACACACTTTAGCCGCTTATATATATAAAGATATAGACTGATGTGCAGTTAAATGCTATCTCTTTAAATGATAATGATAGTTTTCTGATAGCATTTGCTTGATTATGTATCTAAGAGGAATAGCCACTGCTGTATATCAGTAATTGGCAGGAGAATATGCTTAGTTGAATGTAGTAGTTTCCGATGTTTTCAGTCTATATATTAACATGGCATCAGGTATTCTGACAGCTGTTACTGGGTTGTATATATGACAAAAGCTAAAATGAAATATATTTTCAATTAACATAATGTAACCATTCTGCTCTTGTGTTAGTGTAGATATGGAATAGAATTACTATCTGTGTCATGGTACATGGGAACACAGAAGTAAAATGATGACTATCAGTAAATATGAAATAAGACTATATTCATTGAAAGGTATAATAGGGGTGTGTATATTGTGTTTTACTATGTTCTAAGTGTAATGATGATCATCAAGATAAAATGATTGCTTTGCTGTATAGTAATTTAATCAATATTCCAACTGAATGTTCTGCTTCTGTGATCAGTTTGAAACTTCATATTGGGGTAGGTGGATTTACTGCCAATAGAAGTGGATTTCCCCAAAACTTTGATGAACATTGAGAAAATTCATATTGTGCTGTTTTGTTAGACTTGTGGTACATATTTAAAATATAGAAATAACAATCTGGATTTTCTACTCAGTGTTATATAGAAACACTTACTAATATCCTCAAAAATAAATTTTGAATAAAATTTTACATATTAGAATTATAATTCTACCTACTTAAAAATTCATTAAGCATTTTAAACCCATATTTCATAATGTGTATTCTTGTGTATTTATTTTCATATTTTTTTAATTATGTCTAATAGCTGTTTGGATGTTGTTCATAATAAGAAATCATTACATCATAATCATGACAGCTAATTAAACTGTTTCACAAAGATTTCAATGTAGCGGTTATAGTGTATAAGGAGTTTGTTTATCTTCTGACATCAGAAGGTATAGCTGATGTAGTATACATTTTCAATGGATAGTCTTTGATATATGATTGCTATTAATTTGCTGAACTCACTTCAAATATAGCTTTCCATGCCCAGGTCAACTTACATGCTGCATTTTCTGGAAAACGGAAACATACTGTTTAATTATAGAGAATTTTTGTTATAATGTGAAATAAATAATGTTGTGTAAGTTTTATCATATTATTTCAGGTGCATTTCATTTCAAAATTCACTTCAGCTAAAAATATTTAAATTCTAAATAAACTTAAATGTGTAATTTTGATTTCTGTTGATTTGCATGATTCCTATAAAATTATATATTATTTAAAGAGCTGCTTAATTCTTTGTAAAGCTTTGTGAATCAGATAAACTTGTTTGCACGGTGTATTTATAACTTGAGATTAAATATTCATGTTATCAAAATTGTATCAAAAATGTATATAAATTTTTTAATTTAACATAAATATTTGTCACTTACTCAGAACTTGTAATGAAAACCAAAATTACAAAGTCTTTCAATAGCTTTGTTGCAAATTTTTGTTACATTTGGGAAAAAGCAGATGACAATAACCCTGTATCTTGTTTAAAATAAATTTTAATCGAACTAATTATAATGACAGCTAAATTAATATTCACAATTCATTACATCATGGAAATTTTTTCTCATATATAGGAGCATTTGTAGCAGGAATAGAAGCTGGATTAGTTTATAATTCTTTTCCAAAAATGGCTGATCGATGGATTCCATCTGATATTACTGCTTTTTCTCCATTATGGAGAAACATTACAGAAAATCCCACTACCACACAATTCAATCATAGGATATTGGTATGTGCATTGCATAACTAATTATATTTTCCTCTCTTTTTTTTTTTTTTTTTTTTTCTTTTCTGTTTTAAAATATGTATGTTCTTTTCTGTAATTTCATTCTTTTACTTTTTTTTTTTTACTTTTGTGACTTGAGTATTGGATGATATGAAAGCTATTTTTATATAATTATGATGTAAAAAAGAGTATTTTGATTTTGGTGAAATATCTAGAAAATATGATGCATCTTATATTATAAAAGGCATAGAAAAAAAGTGTGTATGGTGTGGATGTACAAAATATGTGTGGTGTGAACATACGTTTATTAATGTTTAAAAATGCTTTTAAAGGAAACATTGTACACAATAAAATTTTTGATTAATTTCATGAGTGGATTTATTTTGTTAACTGCTCATTGTGGCGTAGTTTGAATTGTGTAAAGTAAAACAATAAAATAAATCATTTATATTAGTTTAATCTTTATTTAGCTTTATTTTGAAATTTTGTTTAATCTCTGTTCCAAGTCTCAAAATGTATATATAGATTTAAAGTTAGATTTATTCTCTACTTTTCTTTCAGTCTCATTCTGATGCAATTTATATTGTACAGAGTTTAATGTATTTGCTTATTCAATTCTTTAGAGAATCAAGAACTTAATAGTTGGACTATATTTCTGTTGTATTATTTTTATGGTCATTAATTGTTCTCATTTTTCTTTCTATAAGCTATTATTTATATTCAGTTCATTTTTCTCTGAGCATATGTTTCTTTCAGATGTATTTTTTAAAAAAAAGAGTTTCTTAAATATGTTGTATTTCAAAATAAGAGTTTCTTACATATGTTGTAAGAGTTTCTTAAATATGTTCTTAGGGAAAGATGACAGTCTTTATATTTGTTAGCATTGATCTGAAACTAAGAGTTGACAGAAACTAAGATATATATATATATATAATTGAAAAACTGTTTGCTGTGTATTACATTATTTATATGATTTTAAAATTATCACAAAATGTTTTCGATTCAAAAAGACAAAAAATAAATTGGAATTTTAATGGAACCTTGTCAACCACAGTGTATTATTTATCATTTTATTATTATTATATTAATGTAATAGTATAAGTCTTATCAAAACAGCAATTTTATTGTTTAATCCAATAGTGTGAAGAAGAATAAAAAGCATTGTTAAGCCAGCATTCTTCTTAATGAAAACATTATTAAAGAAATGCTTATGTCAACAGTGGCTTTCATGTAATGAGTTTATTGTTATTTATATTCTTCAAATGTTGTCATGTAAAAAAAAAAATCGGATTGTGACAAAGCTGACATAAGTATCCACAAAGTAGAGCCCTTAATATTATATAATTCTTATTTTAAAGAAAGATAATATTAATTTATATTCTTATATATTTTATTAGAAAATTAGATTTTTGATTAATTATAGTCTCTTAAAAAGCTATATCTTATTTAATTGCAATCTTTTAGAAAATTATATCATACTATAAGCTTTTATTTAGTTTGGTCATGGTGTTTGTTGCTATGGTCAGAAGTTTATCATCGATTTTTAACCTACTTCCTGATAAGATATGAAGTTTAAATTTTGAACATATACTGCTTGTGGATAGGCAAAATTTTTTCAAAATTAGATTTAAATATTTTTGAATATTAGATTTATATATTTTTAAATTTAATGCTTAAATGATTTTTGGCACATATCTTTTCATTTTTAATAAAATTTGTGCCTTTTTTTTAACATCATTTCTGCCAAATTTTCAAAAATTGCTTGATTTTTTTTTCTGACTGTTTGACATTTATGATTTTAAAATTTCAATATCTAAAAATGCATTGGTTACAAAATTTTGAAATTTTCAGAGATTATAAAACAAATTCTTTTCCCTCATTTTAAATAAGAATGATAAAAAAGAAAACATTGAGAGATTTTCTACATTAAAAAAAAAAAAAAAAATGCTCAAGTGTGACACAGAAATTGCTTCTTCCTTTGGTATACCGGGAAACATAATTTCAAGGTTGTGGTGTTACTGCATCACAATAAAATCTATTCTTTCCATAAGTTTATGTACATTTTTTCTCAGAATTTCAATTTAAAAGCTGTTTTTTTTTTCTCAATTTTAATGGAATACATAATATAGTTTCCTGTAGGATTTTAAAATTTTAACATCCAAAAATGTATGTGTTATCAAGATTTTAAATTTTACAACTTTTTTAGACGAATTTGTTGACATAAAGAATCTGAATAAACAATAGTAAGGTTTCAAAACTTAACTTGAATTTTGTGAAAAATAGTACACACATTTCTGGAAAATAATACAATGTGAGAATTTTTTTTTTTTTTCCAAAATACTGTTTAAATTTTTTAAAATTTAGTGTTGTGGTTTTTCATACATATCTTCACTTAATGAACAAACTAAAAATCTCAGAATTTTTACCGTTTGCACTATTTTTTCATGTGGAAAAGTTTAAATGAAGTTTATAAGAGATTTTAACATAATTTCTGATTTTTTCGGCAAAATCGCTGGATGTTTTTGATCTTTGATAAATAATTGTTGGAATTAATGATTCCAACAATTACACGAGTGATTATTCATTTAAAAAAATGATTTTTCAATTTAATAATTTGATTGATGTCATTCAGATTAAAAAGATGAAAATAACATTTTTATATATAAATTAAGCTTTTTATTTAAAACTCATAAAAAGAATGAATGAACTAAAAGTAGCAAAATAATTTATCATATAGTTTACTTGGAAAAAGGGATTAAATAATTCTCTTTACAGAATTCATCTACGATCCCCTAAACATTAAATAAACATCCCCTAAACAGTGGAACATATTAAATTAATTGCATTGTCAAAAGTATAAGCCATTAACTTTATAAATTTATCAAGGAGGCCCCATGCTTTTATTATTAGTGATATAAAACTGAAGATGAATTTTTTAAAAGTTTTCAAATTTAATCTCTTGTTCCTAATAAAGGATATGATAAATTATTTTTCTACTTTTAGTTCATTAATTCTCTTATGAATTTTTAATAAAAGCTTATATTATTAAAATTTTTATTATTAATTGTAATCCTTTAGAAACCTATATTTATATATATTTTAATTCTGATCTTTTAGAAAGCTCTTTGTCATTTTATTTAACATGCAAGGTGTTCAGTCTTTAATATCTTATATTTAACTTTAAATGCTATATAATTGTGGTTGTTTAGCAAAAAAAAAAAAAAAAAAAAAAAAAAAAAAACATGTAATCCTATAATAAAAAAATTCTTTCCCAAGTTGTTTAGAATCTCATTTAAGTAAAATTAAGTATATATTCAGTAAGTATACAGCATACCTGAAGGAAGCTTTTTTGAATAGTATTTTATTTCTATTGATTATTCTTAATGATAACCTTATACTACTCATATTCCTTCGTAATTACTCATGCAAGTCAAATGTGTTGAAAGGAGAGGAAATACTTTTTTTTTTTGCTATACCCTTTTTATGTTCATGTATGCTATGCTAATTTAAAAAAAATGATTTATTATATTCGTAATTATAATTTAAGATTTAAATGAGAAAAATTTCTTTTGTCTTTGAGAAGAGTGAGTCCCCCAACCCTTCATTCTTATTTAGCATGCTTACACTTTCGTATTTTACGATGAATAGTTAGAATTAATTTATGTTTTCTTCCATGTTTTAGGGTGAAACAGTGTTTTGTGCTGTGACTGGCCTTTGGTGGTATTCTCGTAAACTACCTCTTTCTCCAAGAGCTAGATTAGCAGTAAACTGCATGTTTGCTATGGCCTTAATTCAGGTACACTAATAATTTGTGCTATTGTTATATATTATGTAATTTATGGGTATAATATTTTATGAAATATATATATATTCAAAATAAATTAATTAAAATTATAAAGCCTGTGACTTGTGCTAAAGCTACAAAGTAATAAACCAATAATTCATAATAATTTATAAAAACATTATTTCATTCATGGTTTTAAATTGAATTTGTGTTCCTTGGAGATGGTATATAAATTATTATGAAATATATGTATATACAGTCAAAAGTCGTTAATCCGGACTCGTCGGGATTTTGGCGATTCCGGATTATTGATTTTTCTGGATTATAGATCATCAGTTTAAATCTGGGAAGATGGCATGCAGAAATTATAAAATTAAAAATATGAAATGTAATTTATGAAATGAAGAACAATTATAATCTAAAGGGTATCAAAATTAAAAAAAAAAAAAAAAGGCTTAATATTTGTTTACTTTATTAAACATTTCTTTCAATGTAAGTTGTTTAAGTTGCTTCGTTTTATGTGATAATACTTTCTCTTTAATTCTATAAACAGACATAATTTCGTGTTCAGTTACAAAATTTCCGCTGTTTTAAAGTCCTATAATGCTGCTGTGTCGAGAATACCACCGACTAATTTGTCAATCGAAATTTTTTCGTTTTCAATAACCTCTGTGTCACTTTCTTCACTATTGGAAGCGAATTATAATGATGAGGAATTTGATTTAAATCATATCAAAAGATGGAGTACATCGAGATGAAATACTACATTTAGTAAGGAATTATAAGCCAAATAAAATAAAAACATTTGCCCTGAAGATCCTTATCTTCACAGTGCTGACAGATCAACATTGTGCACCGCGGCGTTTCCCCCTTCCCGCTGCAGAGCAACGTGAAATTGATAAACTGATTTCGGAATGGTTAGAGAAACATATACATTTATCCATTTTTTGCAGCAATTCTACTTTTTGTTTGATGGACATCGAAACATATTTTCGCTTTGTAGATCCTTTGGGAGCTCCAGCATCGGAAATTCTATTTGACATAATTGAAAGTTCAAGCTTACTTTTATAAAATTGCTCTAACAGTCTGCAAAAAACAATAAGCAGGATCCAATTCGAAGATTAAGGAACAATGCAATCTGCAACATTAACTGAAATAGATAATTAGATATTTTTAGCTTATACCGTCCGTTATACATTAAATGCGCATGCGTAAACGTATTATGCGCATGCGCACATGCATATGCGCAGCCGTAAAGGCCGACGCATGCGCAAAAAGTTTGTAGCTTTGAGGTCCAGATTATAGATCATTCCGGATTATGGGTGTCCGAATTAATACTTTTGACTGTATATATGATGTAGTTTAGGTGGAAGATGAAAACCATTTCACGTCTAGTCATAGCCAAGATAACTTTGTAAGTGATAGTTGTAATGCACTAGCAATGATAACATAACATAGATACACTTTGGATGTCTTTACTGCATACATGGCATGATGGACTTCCACACAAATGTGGTCAAATTATTTATCTCTACATATAATAAAAGAAAGACTCTGTGTGTCTTTCATTCGTGCTGCACGTAAGCTAATAGATCCAGGGCTACGAAATTTGGTATCTAGAGAAGAGCCTGTGCAACTCAAAGCAATTTTTTCAAAATTCGACTCTGATTTTTTTAAAATTTTATATTTTTGATTTTATTGCACCATTTTGAATAGTTTCATTCTTTTGAAATGTGGTTTTGGCAACAGTTTTTCATTCAATTGTATACTGGACTGCTGACTGTTGAAAATCAGCACTGTTGCCACTTAGAAAAATGAGGGCGATAATTCTGTGCAGTTTTAAAATTTAATGTTTCTGTTAGATACTGGATGTTTGTTGAGAAAAGGCAATGGGAAGTTGGTTAATTTATTTATTAGGATAAGTAATATTTGTATTAAGGTATATTGCTTATTTCATTGTAATTTTGTTATATGTAAACACGTTTTTTTACATTTAAAAAAAAAGTTTTTTTTTTTAAATGTAATTTTGCTATATGTAATACATTAAAAAAAAAATAGCAGTTTTTTTATGTGTAGTTATTCTGCAGAGTAAAATTCTGCTCAGTTTCTAAATTTAACGTTTGGTGTCCCCTTAAAGCATTTTTTCGGTACATTTCAAAGCCAGACGAAGGCTGGCAGCATTGCTGCTAGTTATTATATAAAGCAATTCTGAAGACACAGTGCTGGCTGCATACACTATTATGGGTGCAATAGGCACCCCACAATTTTGTATAAGAACAATAGAAGAATGTGAATACCACTGTGCGAATAAGTAAAGAGACATGGGCTATTCAAGACTGAGCAAATTACAAAAAGAGAGTGTGTAGTTAAATTATAGTGGTATTTATCGTAATTTTTTTAAAAAATTTGATTGGCTAAGAACTATAAGTAGTGCAGAAAGTTAAAATGACATGATGCAGAATTAGATTTCAGATGTGATCCAGTTTTGAAAAGGTTATTACTATTTTTAGAGTAGAAAAGTGGATGATGCCCAAAGTAAAAAGAATAAGTAGGGACTGTTGCTAATTTAAAGTATAATTCAAAGTTACATGTTTTTTATCTTTTACACACACACGCACATATATATAAATCATGTTCTAAATATGCTACTAATGTTTTATATATACATGTTGCTATAAGTTTGGAGTTGCATATTAAGAATGAAAAAATTTACAGGCTCTTGAAGTGCACTAATATTTATATAGACAGAATTTTTAATTTCTAAGTAAAAAAAAGCCGATGTGGCCAGCCCATGTTTTATGAAGGAGCTTTAATTATCACTTCCAATTGATAATTTGAAATAAAATGTAACATATTTATAAACTTTATGACTCATTATTAATTATAAATACTACTTATTTTTTATTATTCTATTGTCTTATACAGTGAACAATGATAACTGTATATGCTCATGTACACATCAGTTCTCATGCTTTGATTTGAAAATATCGCATTGATTGTAGTGTACCGTTTGATTATAGTGTTTTGGATTCACAAACCAGGTGACTTAACAATCACAAAATTTTTAAATGCAACGTATTTATAGAACTCCTGATACAGTTTTAAGTGTTGTTATAAATTTCTTTTTATATGTGAAAAATAATACATAGTGATAACATTTGGTGGCAATATCCTTTTATTTGAAAAGTGATTTCACACAAAAGTGAAGCAAACACATCAAAGATTGAGAATATACATATAATTGCTTCATGACAAGAGCTCATCTTCATAATGAGCCTATTCTTGTTATATTTTGCATAATTCTAAGAATATATTTAATGATTATGTATGTCACATATGATTATGTATGTCACATATGATTTAAAATAACACAACCATTTTAAATACCAAGTTTGAGAAGTTTTGGTTATCTCAAAATATACTTTTTTATGAAAGTCTATTCAGGGCTTCAAGTAAAGTATCACTTCCGGTTCATCAGTTTTAGCCGAAATCTAATATGTTGTTCCCATTTATATCAAAATCTTTAAGTACTAAAACTGAAAAGTTTTTGGATTATATTTTAGTACAGGTTTATTAATGAGGCTTTCCCATTAGTGTATGTCCGGTTTGTGAAGGAAGGAAAAATTATTCAAAAGATGCTTTTTGCAAAAAACTTAATTGCAGATCCTAAAGGTAAATCTATTTTTAATACTGTCAAAGATTATTTTAAAGAGAAAAATATTCCTCTTGCAAACATTATGTCTGCTGCCACGGTGGAGCTCCTGCAGTGGTGACTTGTCGTCGTGTGTTCATCGACCTTTTGATTTATAGACGACATTTAGCTGCAGAAAACTTCAGTGACCTTTTGCATCAACTATTATAGTACGTCATTTTGCAGTAATGCTTTCATTGATCAATTATCCGAGCAGCTGTGTTAGGAAAATGATGAAGAATTTAATTGCTTGCTTCTACACACCCAAGTTGGCTGGCTCTCCAAAGACATCTGCTTCAATAGATTCTTTTATCTTTTTGACTCTGTACTTGAGTTCCTCAAATAGAAAGATATAGCTCTGAAAGACAGATTGCTACAATATAAGATGCAAAATTCAATGGAATTAATTTGCAGCTTCAATGCGAAGAGCTCATTTTGATCACAACAAAATCTGTTATTTCCACTTTCCTAAAACAACTCACTTTGTAAAAGCAGAATTTTATTCACAATGAGTTTAGCCAGTTTCCAATTTTGTTGGATCTGCACAAGAGCAGTGAAATCCCCTTCGATGAAACAAAAAAAGTTTACTGTCAACACCTTGAGTCTTTGCACTAAGACTTTTCTGAGCATTTTAAGGATATTTTATCCCTAGGAGTCCCTCAGTGAATCATGAACCCCTTTTATGAATATTGAAACAGCAAAGGTTCATATTCAGGAGGAATTGATCGAACTTTTAACTAATGAAACTTTGAAAGCCAGCTTCCAGAATAGTGATCGTCTCACAGAATTTTGGCTTCAAAGTAACATCAGTCACCTCAACCCAGGATTATGCACTATCGTCAAAAAATCGTCAAGACAAACATCATTGTAAAAATAATAAAAACATGTTGTGGAGACTCTTAATTCATGCTTATTCACTGAAAACTCAGTACGGAATTTTTGGACTGAAAACATTAGTTTTCTTACCTACATATACAAGTTGGCAGGAGGTAAAAAATGAAGAAAAATTTGACATCTTCCCAAATGCCAGACATTTGTTTGAAAATCAAATTTATTTTAACATAAAAATATTATAGCACTCAGGCTGAAACATTATAATATAATGCATGTGTGTTATAGTGTAATATCATCAAGGTTCCTATGAGAACACTTTTTGAAAAAATTTATTTAAATTGATCATTGTAAGAAAGCAATAACTCATTCATTCAATCACTATCAAGAGTGGAAATAATTTAAAGTTAATTTAAGATTCTACTATTCGTAATCTGGATTTCCAGCAACGTAATTATTATACAATAACAGACTTTGTGTAAAATATTAATTAATAGGAGACAAGGGTGTTCTGTCTGATTTATAAAGCTATCATTTAGTTCTCATTAAAAATGAATAAAATTGTTCGAAATATGGATAAGGTGCAATTAAAAATGTTGCAAAATAAGTATATTTCTTAGTAATTACAGTGTGCAAATATTGTTTATACCAGCAATATGTAGCAGATACTAATTAACAGATTGCTATAATTGAATTTTTAATTATTCTTTTATAAATTCTAAATAAATGACAATTTCTGGTATTCAGTAGATAATTGTGTGAATTTTTAAATAAAACCAAGATGCAGAAAATAGAGTAAATAGTTGAAAGAGATTTAAGTGTGAATTTTTAAATAAAATAAAAAGCAAAAATTTTAAAACCGAGATGCAGAAAAGAGAATAAATAGCTGAAAGAGATTTAATCTCAATATTGAATAATACAAAAAATGCTATTACTTGCATACATAGTATGTAAAGCTAAAATATGAATAAGTATTTGTTAAGATGACACCGAGTCAAATTATTTCATGAATGTGATATTCTTTTTGTTAGTTTCTAATTTACAACAGTTCAATGGGTAATGTGCCTTGAGTGAAAATTTATTTCAGATCTATGACAGTTTTTTAGCCATCAAGTAGCTTCCTGGAGTATTTGTGATAGGGAAACTGACACCTTAGCCAATCCACTAAATCTTAGTACAAAAATGAAACCAATACTCAAGGCACCATCTATGCAGCTGAACTTCCATGCAAAGGGGAGAATCAATGAAATTTTGGGAGTCAAAGAGCCATCTGCTTATATAGAATACAGTGGTGCAGAATTTAAAGCATACAATCTGACATAAATGATTTTCTGTTTCATGGCTGCTGTTAAAAATATAAAATTATATATCCAGTTTCGTTGGGGAAAAAGATGAACTCATAGAGTGCAATATACTTCTCACACAATATTTATTGTGTAGTAATTACAGTTGGTAAAGTTGACAATTTAGAATTTCAACTGAAGTTTAAAGGAAATACCAACAATTAAAATCCAGTTCACGTTTAGTTTAGAAATTATTTAAGAAAGTTAAGAGCTTAAAAGAAATCCCAGGTGCGAGTTCCTTACAGTATATATAATTCATACCTTTTAGTAAGAATATGTTTACTTTTATGTAGTCTCATGTCTAAATCAAGAAAGTTCATCTATTTATCATGCTTCAAATCCACAGCGAACTATGAACTTTCATGACCCGTTAAGGACCTACCTTATAACGTACTTATGTGCTGTCTTAATTAATTTATAATTATTTTTATATTCTTATTTTATCCACAGGTTGTTCATTTCTCTGCTATTGTTACATCAGTTTACAGTGATATAACCACATGTGGTTAATTTCCCCCTTTTATATACAATATATAAGAATTTTAGTTGAGAAATAACTGCAGATTGCCAAGTTATAAAATTTAGAGAAGGATGCATGGGAACATTCACTTGATTTTTATAGCCTTGGAAATCAAAAAGCCATGTATAATCTTCAGCATTTATATTTATGTTTTATTTTTGCTGAATTAATGCTTTGGATATGTTCTCTATAAAAATGATACATACTTCTAAATCTTCATCTATTATTATCATATGCTGTGTAAACACAAATGTTCATAGTCAGAGAGCAGTATACATGCAAATAATTTTTTCCATAGAGCAAGCTGGTAATAATACTCTTGTAAGCTTGCAATTTTTTTCCTCCATTTTATTATACACTTTTTGTTGTTTATTTGATGATGATGTTGCTTGCCATTAACCAGGTATTTCACTAGAAAATATTGAAATATCTTTTTAAGGTTGTTCCCAAATCATTTTTCATTAAATCTCCATGAATTCACTTTTGTATACGACTTCATTCCCATTTAGTGCCACTTCTGTACTCAAATCAAAATCGGAGACAGTTCCACACAATAAAATAGTCTTTGATGGATAGGTAATAATAGTTTGTAACTTCGTAGTGCTTCTACAAGAAATGAAAATTCTTGATTATCTTTCACTAAAATTGCAGTAATGTCTATTCTTAATTTGCTTTAGCAAAGTTTTATATAGATAAAAACATCTTTAAGATACTAAGACAATCTTATTTATTTTGCCCTCCATTTCAGGTGAGTCTTGGGATTGCTACATTATTGATGCAAGTACCTAAACCACTGGCTGCTAGCCATCAGTCTGGAGCTCTTGCCTTACTTTCTACTGCTATTTGGTTGACACATGAACTGAGAATCTTGAAAATGATACCAAAGTAATTCCACAGTTAAGATATTTTATAAAAGTCATCTAATGAACACATTATTCACTTTGCGTAGAGAGCATTTTAAATGGATTTACACCCCAACACACTGCAAAAGAAAATGTTTAAGAGATCATTATATTTAATTAAATGAAAATAAAAATAGTTTTTATTTTATGGTTTTTTTTTCTTTTTTTTCCTTATTTACTACTCTTTATGCATTTTAACTCCTAAACTTAATTAAGGAGCATTTGTGTTATATTTCAAATTATCCACATATTCAACTATTGTTTTCACATCTGGAATATTGAGAAACACATGGGCTGAATTTTGATTAATGAATTATTGTAAAATCTGCCTTCTGGTCCCTTCTGATAAATTTATTTGATTCTGCTTAAATATGTATCAAATAAATGGGCATGTCTTTTACTATAACACTGCATCAGTGAATCAAAAAAAAACTTGTCATTTCTGATTTCCTTTAAATCCAGTGTTTTTCATTTCTTAGAAATGCTATCACAGTGAATCTCAAAACAATATTCCCTAATTTCTTTAAATCTACTTTTCCCCATTGTTTTAATTTTTTAAAGAACACCTTTCTAATGTAAAAAAAAAAAGTAACCTCAGCGTGTTACATGCAGAAATAGGAAACTGCAAAATATTTCTTTACGAGATCACTTTTAAATATCTTTCAATGGCAAACTGAGTCGATTTAAATTTACATGCTTCCGAGTTTCTCTGAAACTACCCCCCCCAAAAAAAAACTGATTATAAGCTTTTAACATTAAGTACATTCATGGCATTTTATGAAGAAATTCATCAAAAGCCTAATACAAATGTTGGCATTATTTCAGAAAAGAATTTCTGAAGTTGGAAACTTTTAGGTATTTAATGGACTAATACAAATATATATATATATATGTATATTAAAATAAACACTTGTGCATTTAAATTACAGAGCTGTTTTGAAAAATACTTTAACTATCTAATCAGTGTCACAGAGTAATGATTTAAGAGTTAAGAAATTTTCAGTTGATTATACATGCATGCTTTCTTTATGCAATTTAAATAAAATGTCAAAAGTTTAAATGCTTTGCTTTATACCAAATACATTTAGAAATAACACTATTATTGAAAATGATCTGTTTAAAGTATGCTATTTTTATTCTTCTTAATAAAAATAACGTGACCTTCAGAAGGGGAGGGATTTCTGGAATGGTTGGACAGCTTGGATAAATAGTGCTCTATTGTTATATTGGGGGGGGGGAAATCAAGAGATTCAAAATGTTCAGGTCTAGCCCATGACAGTTAATTTTTACACACAGGGAAAAAATTCTATAATTTTGAAGTTTCTACTTGAGCAAATGTGAGTAAAAGAGGACTGGATCATGACATGGAAATTCCAGAGGAGGTCCATTAATTGCGTTATGAGATATTCTTCCACTGCAAATTTAATTATTCAATTAACAAGAAAAAATATTTTTTAGTATCATTACTTACTAATTATTTTATTAGTATTTTGAGAAATTCTATTAATAGAATGGTGTTCAAGCAATAGACTGCATAAAGCAAAGTGCAGTTTAATTTACTATAGGAAATTCAGGATAGTAAACACTTCAAAATAACATAATTCATTCTTTATTTTTTTTATTTACAGCATAATACATTAAACAAAAACATAATTATTTACAAAATATTCTCTTATCAAAAGGCACATGAGAATTAGAAGCAGATTAAAATCTAATAAAAATTTTCAGATCTTTTTTCCCCAAATCTTTAAAGCCATTTGTCACAGAGATTTTAAAATTCAGTAAAACATAAGGATATAGTATTGACACCATGTTAAAAGTGCACATCTCAAATTTTTGAAGTTTTCAGTTAAATGCACTTTTCATATTGTTTTTCTTTTTGTGTGCATGTGTCTTACATTCTATCAAGAGAAAAAGAAGCATATAAAAGAATTATTTTAAAGTCATAATTAAATTTTTTCTGGAATTTCCCTTTCTAAAAATCAAGAATTTGAAGATTCTGGATCTTGGCATGCTGCTGATGACATATATAGCAATTTGGGAATAAAAATGCAGTTTTTTACACATAAAACTTTTTAAATACATACACAAAATTTTAAAATAAGGAAACTAACTATACACAAGACTTCATTAGAGCATAAAAAAGTCAAAAATATTTGCTGAAATACACTTTCAGAACAAAGATGTATTTAAAAATTAATAAATAATAAAATCATTGATGTGTATTGAAATGTAAATGCTATCATAAATAATTTTTCATGACTGAGTATTTTTTAATATTTGGCAAGAAAGAATTAGATTTCACCATTTATGAGGGGACTGCATGAAAATCTAAAAATGGGGAAAATAAAAGATTTAAATATAAAAAATTATCAATAAATTAAAATAACATTGATTTTTTTAACTCTATGTCACTGTTTAGTACAATGCTTCAAAATTATGACACTTTCAGGATCCTAGCTGTTAAAAGCATTAAGCATAGTACCTTCATATTTGAAGCCTTTGGATACAGTTACAGTTTTTCAGTTTAAATATGAACTTAAACAACTTAATACACTTTTCTCAGAATTATAATTTAAAAATACAGCTGTAGAGAGAATTCTTAAAAACTAAAAACCAGCAATTAGTATTTATCATAATGCAGTACAAAGTCTTTAATCCGGACGTCCATAATCCGGAGTGATCTATAATTCGGACCTCAAAGTTAGCGTTTACGCATGCGCATAATATGTTTACGCATGCGTGTTTAATGTATAACGGACAGTATAAGCTAGGCTAAAATGATCTAATTATCTATTTCAGTTAATGTTGCAGATTGCATTGTTCCTTAATCTTCTAATTGATCCGGCTTATTTTTTTTTGCAGACTGTTAGAGCAATTTTATAAAAAGTAAGCTTGAACTTCGATATGTCAAAAGAGTCTACGATTCTGGAGCTGCCAAGGACCTACAAAGCGAATCATGTTTTGATGTCGCATCAAACAAAAAGTGGAATTGCTTCAAAAAAATGGATAAAGGCATGAGAAAGTGACAGAGAGGTTGTGAAAACGAAAAATTCCGATTGACAAGTTAGTCGGTATTCTCGGCACAGCAATTACAGGACTTGAACACGGAACTTTGTAACTGAACAAAATCATGTCTGCTTATAGAATTAAGAGAAATATTAGCACATAAAACGAAGCAACTTAAACAACTTACATTGAAAGAAATGTTTAATAAAGTAAACAAATAAATATTAAGCTTTTTTTTTTTTTCTTTTGTAAATTTTGATAACTTTTAGATCATAATTGCTCTTTATTTCATAAATTACAGTTTCATATTTTTAATTTTATAATTTCTGCATGCCATCTTACCAGATTTAAATTCATGATCTATAATCCGGAATTGCCGAAGTCCTGACGAGTCCGGATTAAAGACTTTGTACTGTAATAGTTTTAAATCTGATTTGAACTTTGCCTGTAGAAAAAAGCTACACTTTTCTCTTTCTCTCTCTCTTTTTTTAATAGTTAAGGATGCAAAATACTTTTTTTTTAAATTTCATTCCAACTATTTTTTTAAATCTATTTTCAAAGCAAATGTATATACAATCTTCATATTCTCAGTCATAAATATATTGCAGAATACTTTTTTAAATATTGGAATTTATGTTTAAAAACACATGAATTTTTGCTTTTATTCAAGTTAATGCATATTTCTTTATGCAATTTAAACTTAAAAAAAATTTAACACAAGATGCTTTTATAAATTCATTAAAAACTTGAAATATCTAATCTATTAATCATATCAAGGATTTTAGGTGTAATTACTTTTGTGCAATGAGATATATTGACAAATATACAGTCATAAGAGTAAAAAAGTTAAAAATCTCTGTTCCATATAGATACTCTTATTCATATTTTCTAATCAAATTATGGGAAAGCCATTCGAAATATTACTTTTAATAACTGATGATATAGAAATATTTTACAGTTGTATCATAAAATATTAATTATCTATATTATGTACTATAATACACATAAAATAAGTAGTAGTTCCTTTTTATAAATGCATGACTAGAATGCTGAAAAACAATTAAAATGCATTTGGGCTTTTTATACTTTTAACAAAAAACAGCGTATCTCACAATCATGACATAAATACATTGAAGAATAAAGTGAAACGCAACCAACTTGCTCATTTAATGTAATTCAGAGAACTGAAACATATCAGTTCTTAATTATTCAGTAATGTATAAATGCAGAGTTATGAAAAGTTATAAAATCCCCATTCAGTTTTTATTTAAATCATTACTTTTGTGCTATTTAAAATTATTTTTAGTTAAATCATTTTCAATGAAGCAATATATCCAAGGGGACTCACAAAGGGGAACTATAATATGTTTTCTATGCTTTCTAAAGTTATTTCTTAATTTTTATAAAATAACAGTAGAATTTCTGGTTTGAAGGGGATTTCATAAAAAGTATCATGGCAATGCAAATAAAAATATATCAAACATAGATGTACTGTATACATCAATCTAATCTTGCATTCATTATGTACGCATTTTAATTTTACACATTTCTTCAAGTTTATGCATACATGGTTTTAAATCCTTGAAAAAATTATAATTTTTTGGAGGTGTGGGGGGAATACTAGAAAAGTTATGTTTACAAATATTATTAATATTAAACTAAAACTGAAATCATATTTTGACAAGAGCTGTTGCAACTAAAAGGTTAAACCACAGCACACCAGTAAATCATTCCCAGTTTGGTTGCTGTTGACACATGTTTTTCTCGTGAGTAATGTGAATGCAAATCAGTGTGCTTTTAAAATCCTCCATGAAAGCTATTTGAAGTGTTCTGTCATCATAAATTATGTATTTTTTATTCTATTTAAATTTACTATTTAATATTTTCAGCAATTAATTTCTAGTGATAATGGAATCAATACTATGATAGTTATTGATTCCTTGTTTGCTATATAGATTAATATTTTTTTACAATCTTTTTCATTTCTAGAACAGTATAATTTTTATTAGTACAGTGTTCCCACTCACTTGCAAAATTCCAAAGGTACAATAAAAACCAATAAATAAGTGAACTATAAATTTTTTTCAAGTTGGGAAAAGTCTGGAATGTTTTCCAAAATGCAAGTGAAGTTTAAAAAAA